AATAAACAATTAGATAATAGAATATTTGAATGTTCTTCTTTAGTCATTATTAATATTAATCGACAATATTTACAATAAGTTTTTAATTGTTCAAAACATGGACATTGAATAATTGCTAATTCATATTTATTTAAATTTATTAAACAATTACATTCAAGTAAAATAATTTCAAATATTTGATAATATTGATTTTGTTTTAAAATTGATAGAAAATTTTTTTTTATATCAATATATTTATACCATGGATTAATAAGATAAATATAATTTGAACAAATGACAAGTGCATCAGTATGTTTTCGAAATTTACTACCATGTATAAAATGAATTTTTTTATTATTATGAAAAATTTTCCAACTAGATATGAATTGTTGTTTTCGATTAAGAATTGAACGATAATTTTCAATTATTTTATATATTTCATTATGATTATTACAAGAACATTGTTCATTCATCTTTGACTTTCTTTTTTCTCTATGAATATAAATAATTTAGGATGAAATCTAATTTGAAATTTAAAAGATCTTGATATAACATAATTATATTCTTTCGATGATTTTTATCTTTTTAAAACAACTTGTTAAATGTTCTTGAATTGCGCCAACCATAATTAATCATGAAATAAGAAAAAAATTACAACTTTTATCTTTCTATCGTTGTTATACATGTAAAATAAAAGAAAGAGATAGTTTTGAATTCTAACGATGTCAAAAATACAATGGGTAATTGTGAATATTTTTTTTTTTGATTTTATTCCATTAGAATAATTATATTTAGCCTCAAGAATAAGCGTGCACATTTGTAGGATGTCGTTAAAAGCATATATTTTTTTTCTTTGCTCCTCTTTGACCTTGAAATTTTAGTGATGGAAGTAGAAGAAGAACCAATAGGGATGGTCGTAAGTAACGAGACAGAAAAGAAAAAGAAAAAGAACAAAAAAAAACAAAAGAGAAACAATAGAAAAAAAACTAAGCACACATGTCAATTGACGACTAGTTATTCTATACGTTTGTTATTCCTTTACTCTCGTTGTTATATAAATTTGTAACGTGCATCAATCGTATATTACTTTGGCAAGGTTTTATCTTTTGTGCTGACGACATCTAAACAAAAAACAAGAGAAAAACAACAAAACGATAATGCATCCTAATCAACAATATCCCGGACAAGGTAGAGGAGCAAATCCTCCATATCCACAGCAATCACCATATAATGTTGCTGGTGGACAACAACCACAACAACAGCCTTTTGGTAATCCATCACCTTACAGCATTGGAGCTGGTTTAGGAGGGTAACATATAATATTTACTATTTATAGAAGTTAAAGTTAATTATTCTGAATAAAATATATTGGATGCAGATAAGGACGAATTGAAAGTCAAACAATCATTGTTTGTTTTTTTGCTTCGTTTTAATATTATTTATCTCATGCTACAAAGATTAATTTGTCATGTAATAACAATATTGTTTAACATATATTTAATGTAGCTATATTAACTGATATAAAAAAAATAAGTTTAATTATTCACATATATTTCAGTGGATCGTGATGATTTTCCTGATGTGTTTTTTTCGAAATCGTTCTGATTTGTTTTTAATTTTGACGAATAGTGTTCTAGATTTTATTTACGATACTTTTTCGAAAGAACATCGGAAGTAAAAAAAACAAGCAAAATTATTTAACAAAACTAAAACAAATCTGAGCGATTTAGATAAATAAAAATTAAACAATCAGGACCGCTTCAAAGTTTGTTATCCATAATATAATTTATATTGAAGCCAAATATATTAGTGTGGAATTATTTCAAAAAAATAAATCAATCATCTTTGCTAATATGTAAAACGAGTTTTCGAAGAAAATATGATGATAAATGAAAACTCAATTATCTATTCATATTCTAGGGCTCAACAACCAAATATGCCAGGACAATATGGTAGTAATCAAGGTGGATACGGAGGCTCAGGCAATCCGTACGCACAAGGTGGTCAACCTCAAGGAGGAAAGCCATACGCACAAGGTGGTCAACCCCAAGGAGGAAATCCTTATGCACAAAGTGGTTATGGTATGTCCAGTGGAGGCAGTGGTCCTGGTGGCTATCCTTCCTCTGGTCAACAACAATATGGTAATAATCCATATGGTCAAAATGTTAGCACTGGAGGAACTGGATATCCTCCTTCACAAAGTGGTGGTTACCCACCACAAAGTGGAGGTTATCCACCACAAAGTGGCGGCTATCAACCACGGCCTGGTAGTTATCCTCCTCAAAGTGGTGGCTATCCTCCTCAAAGTGGTGGCTACCCTCCTCAAAGTGGTGGTTATCCAGGTCAACAACCGCCGTATCCATCACAAGGTGGTTCTCAAGGAGGTCAACCAAGTGGTGGTTTTATGCCAAATGATCAACGTGCACAACAACTTAATCAACTTATTCAAAGATATGAAATTAGTCCACAAATAGCTGCACGTTTACATACGCTTGGTAATTGTGAAATTGTTGTTTTATGTGATGATTCAGGTAGTATGAATACACCACTTCAAGGTACAAATCAAACACGATGGGATGAACTAAAATCTGTATGTAATTAATTTAATAGTATATTTGAAATAATTTTGTATTTTCATACACAGATCGTTAATGTTGTCATTGATATATGTGCAGTTATGGATTCTAATGGTGTTGACGTTTATTTTTTAAATCGAGATCCTGTACTTAATGTAACTAATGGACAAAATATGCGTCATGTATTTAATTCACCACCACAAGGTTTAACTCCACTTGTACCAGCATTACGAAGAATTCTTGCAGCTAAACGTAGTTTAACATTTGAAAAGAAACTTTTGATTCTTGTCGCTACTGATGGGTATAATTTAGATAATTGAGATTAATTATTTTTGTTTTCTTTTTTTTTTAATGTTTGATTTTATTTTTAGCGCACCAACAAATGATCATGGTCAAACAGATATTGGTACATTAGAAGCTGTTTTACGAAATGAACGTACACCACAAACTTATATGACATTTTTGGCATGTACAGATGATCTTGATGCTGTAAATTATTTATCAAATTGGGATAGATCAATGCCTAATTTGGATGTTATGGATGATTATCGTTCGGAACGAACTGAAATTCAACGAATACGTGGACCAAATTTTCCATTTTCTTTTGGTGACTATATTGTCAAATCTTTATTAGGTTCTTTGGATCCTTGGTAAATCTAAATTTTGTTTCATATTTAATCATTCTAAAAAAAATTTTTTTTTCGCAATTTTAGGTTTGATTCATTGGATGAACGGGCCTAAACAACATATATACATGACATAAAAAAGAAAAAAATCAAGACTTATCGTTTTTTTTTGTGATTATATATAAACAAGAACAACATTTTTTTTTTAAAATTAATTACTAACATGATTTTTAATTTTATGTTATTATAGCTAAGCACAAAAAAGAAAAAATATTTTCTAATTGATATTATATTGAATTTAAATGATATTAACAGAAGCTTAATTTTCATCAAATTGAATTCGAAATAAATCTTTGAAAATATAAATCAATTAGTTTTTCAATATAATATTTAAAAAAAAAAGACATTTTGATATAACTTACATTAAAAGAAGGATTGAAATGAAACATAGATTTTTATATCAGATACAAAAGAATGAAGTGCTACTCAAAATAAAAATTCTTTCTTTTTTTTGGCTATATTACCGTTCAATTAAATTAAAATGTACTTTTTCTATCATCTACGATCTATTCAAAAAAAAATCAATGGACTTAATTGTGTCACGAATAACTTGTGCATAGAAATAGCTAGCATACTTTGGTTTTCAATATTTGAAAGAGGACAGATAACTTTATCGAATCATGTAAAAGTCAAAGGATGGTCAGTTCTCAGTAACCATTCTCGAACAGACGTCCATAAGAATTTTCTCACTACATATTGACTTTCAAGATAATCATTTGATAGAGAAAACCAGGGTCGACCTCTTCGAATGATTGCATTGTCGCATGTTCTGAGTATTCTTCTGAGGCCTTTGAAATCGACCAATTCTCTACTGATCATTCTGAAGTGAACTGATATAGTAGAAGGTTTTGACCATGTTGAAACGACTAGTAGTATTTGTTTTATTTTTCAAAGGAACATGAATAAACCAGATCAAAATCGTTAGTTTTAATTCAATATTATGTGGGAACAACGTATTTTCGTAATATGGAATTGATTACTCCCTGTTGCGTTAAAAAATAAAACAACCATCATCACTCGTTTCAACATGATGAAAACCTTCTAATATCTCTGCTCATTTTAGACTGACCAATAGAGAGTTGGCCGATTTCAAAGATCTCAGAAGAATGCTTATAATATACCACAATGCAAAACTCCGAAATGGTTCTTCTTGATTTTCTCGAGCAAATGACTATCTTGATAGTCAACAGGTAATAGGAAAATTTTTATTGACCTTGTTTCGAAAATGGTCACTGAGAACTGACCACTGTTTGATTTTTACATGGTTTGATAAAGTTATTTGTCTTCTTTCAAATATTGAAAATCACAGAGTATCAGCTATTTCTATGCTCAAGTTATTCACGATACAATCATATGTTACGCAATGATGTAATTGGTAATCTAATAGTGATTTGTATTCTCAGAAATTTAATTCAGTGTTTTAAATAATAAAACTGATAGTCGCGAAAGAAAACCTTCATATAATTGTTTACCACATGTTGTTGTTGTTGTTGTTGTCATGATAAATAAGAATTACAATCTTCGTTTAAATGTTTTATATTAATCTATATGTTACTCGGATTAATGTTTTATTTTTTTAAATGAAAACAATAAATAGTTTGAAGTTAGACTGACTATTTGAGAAACTACAGTTAATCAACTAATAAACTATATTCAATAAGAAAAACATTATATCAAATAGTTCTTATCATTGTTTCATACAGTCTATTTTGATGATCATATAAATTTTTTTTTGCCAATAATTTTTGTATGAGACATGATCATAAAAATGTCTCAAAAGATTATTATCAGAAATAATAAAAAAAGTTGATGATTTCTTAAATTTGTTCAATAAAGTATTCTCTTCTTCTTATCGTTAAGCATGTGTATAAAATTTAGCTTTCATACTCTTTCAAAATTAAAAGACAAAATGTAATGATAAGCTAAAAATTTTTATTTTTCGCAACAAAAAAAAAATGTCATTCATCTACTTGTATAAAGAAACAAAAAAAAATCTTCATACAGATTTAATGTCGTCGTATTTGTCATTATCTTTTACCTTTATTTTGCTTTAAGGTCGTATTTCAATGAAGTAAGAGAAATGGTGACAGACGTTTTTATATTATTATTATTATTATTATTATTTAGATGTATGAAGTGTGCTAGTGACTGATAAAGAACGAGTCAAGATTGATTTTAATTCATTATATTTATTATCATTTTAACAACAATTCAGAAAGATGGTGAATCTAAGAAGTCTGTTCTCCAATAGGTAAGCAAATATGAAATGTAAAATTAAAACAAGAAGAAAGAAATATGAATCTCAATGTTGAAAATGATTTAAGATTTTTTATTTCTGTTTTTTATTTGATATTTTCCAGTTTAAAGACCGTGTATTTGTATAAACAAATGAAGTTTGATTGTATAGTATATGAAATTATAGAAAAATCTATCAATCAATGTTTGTTTTTCAATAGATCGAAAAAAATGATCTTACTAACATTAGAAGAATATCGATATGATTTACATTCGAAGTCTTCTTTTTTCTTTTATCATCTATTAAACTGAATGACTTTTCTAAGTTTGTAAAACTAAATGTAATAAAGAAATATCATTTCGGAAGACAAGTAAAACAACAAAACCCGGCCTTTGACCTTTATCTTTTCTCGTTGTTCTTTTTTTATCTCGCAATATGTTCCAGGGGTTATATCAGCTTATCCTTTTTTTCTCATTTGCAGTAATACTAAAATCATATTTATTGATAACTAGCATTCTATGCACATAATATATTGAGTATTGCTTAATAATTTCTAATATTTGATAAGATAAAATGAACAAACCTTATGCCTGGACAAAAAAAATGTGTATATAAAGATATTTCGAAATCAAAAAGACTAATATCGTTTGTTTTACTTAATTGTTTAAGTATAAAAGAGAAAAAAATGAACTGTAAATTAATTAATTAATTTGAGTTAAACATTGAGTTTATAGAACTTTATCACAATTATGACTGTTTCTTTAAGAGTATATATTTTGCGAAACATGATCTAAAATGAGTGTTGAAGTATAGTGGTAGAAATTTGGGCTCACTTCCCTCCGCAGACTGTCACAGACGTTGTTGATGTACGATCAAAGACTGTATATCAATAACGTCTCGTTACTACTTCCTTATTACATTTCTAGAACATTAAATAAAAGGATGGTAAAGAAATGTATTCAAAATACATAGAATAAAGCAATCTTCCTTTGATTAACAACAGCAGCTATATTGTGTTTCACATTTTAATTATACAGGGATTATGTTAACAGCTTTTATTACTCTATCGAAAATTAATTACTTTTCGAAAATGAAGGTGGATTATAGTTTTACTACTTTTTTTTTATTTCACATAAATTGATTATTTAGATTCGTTTCTTTATTTACATTTAGACGACTAACATTCATCTTAACTCTTGTTGCTGTTTCTGTTCTTGTTGTCATCGGTGTTGTTATTGGTCTTGTTCTTGGTTTAAGAAGGAGATGTAAGAATAAATCGGTTATTTATCAGTTCCATATGTAACTGTTTATTTAATAGGAGAATCGGTAGTATAGTACTGACAATTTGTTGTTTGATTAAAAAAAAAAAATCAAAATTTCACTGATTTGAGCTTACTAAGTAATCAAATGATAAATCAGTAAATGTCATTCAATAATAAATAATGTAATAGTTTTATTTCTTAACACTATTTATCTTATGAGACAACCTCCTCAGATATGCCCTTCTGATTTAGCTATTACATAGCACTCTAGTGAAAATTCTAAAAAGAATTTGAGTTTCTATTGAGACTTATTGGAACTAGTAAATTTTTAATATGTCTATTTGCTAGAGACCTGTACAGAATCTCAGATTTTCGGAAAAAATCGTGTTTATGAATTTTATTTTGAAACTATCTTCATTTTGAAGGTCTTATGATTTGAGGAAGTTCCCACGTTCGTAATATGGAGACTTTTTAAATATTTTTTTTTTTCGTGTATTTAGTCTATTTTCTATTTCATTGATGTAGCTTCTCAAAATGTCGTTGTGGAAGTGTGTGGTGCTGGTCATGAAACTTATGTTATAAATGGTTCATCGATTTTGGGAAAATATTCTCGAGCAGCTGTAGCTGTTGATAATGGTGTATGTTCAACAGTTGGACGCATTATTTTAGAGAAAAATGGTACAACAATGGATGCTGCTTTAGCAGCAGCTATTTGTAACGGTGTTATGAATGCACACTCAATGGGTATTGGTGGTGGATGTGTTATAACAGTTTATTCAAAGTAGAAGAAAAAAACATATTTTTCTTTTTGAAAGTTTTTTTTTTTTTTTAAATATAATTTATAGGAAAAGAAACAAAGCCTATAGTATTATTGGAGTAAGTTAGAGATAATAAACAAAAAGAAATGTATTTTTGTAAAAAAAAAATAATAATTTTTCAGAGAGACAAAGCACCATTAGCTGCTAATTCAACAATGTTTATTGGTCGAGAAAATATGTCCGTAATTGGTAAGAATTTATTAAAGAAAAGAACTAGAGATATAAAATTTTTATTTAAGGTGGATTATCTATTGCAGTACCTGGTGAATTACGAGCTTATAAAAAAGCTTATGAAGAATTTGGTGGAGGTGTATTATGGAAAGAACTTTTTCAACCAACAATTAAATTATGTCGAGAAGGTTTTCGTATTAGTGAAGCACAAGCTCAAGCTATTAAACAAACGACACAAGTTATCCTTAATGATGCTACAATGAGGTTTATATTTAAACAAAAAAAGAATAAACGATAAATAAATATTTTCTTATAGAGAACTTTTTATAAAAAATCCAGCTACAAATGAATTATATGGTTCTGGTGATTTCATGAAACGACCAAAATTAGCTCGTACACTTGAAATAATAGCTGAACAAGGTGCTGATGCTTTTTATACAGGTGAATTATCTGATAAAATTGTTAAAGAAATTCAAGATCGAGGTGGAATTATAACAAAACAAGATCTTATTGACTATGAAGTTGATTTTCAAGAAGCATTAAGTATTGATCTTAATAGTTCAATAAC